GCTGAGGCAGGTGGATCACCACATCAGGAGTTTGAGACCAGACTGGCCAATATGGTGGAAGTACATCTCTACTAAAAAATACAAAAGTTAGCTGGGCATCGTGGTTTGTGCCTGTAATCCCAGCTACTTGGGAGGCTGACGTAGGAGAACTGCTTGAACCGGGACCTGGGAGGTAGAGGTTGCAGTGAGCCAAAATCGCGCCACTGCAGGGCTACAGAGCAAGACCCCATCTCAAAAAAAAAAGGAGAGAGAGCTGAAAAACTGACCCAGAGCACAGTGGCTCACACCTGTAATCCCAGCACTCTGGGAGGCTGAAGGAGGAAGACTGCCAGAGATCAGGTGTTCAAGACCAGCCTGGGCAACATGGCAAAACCCAGTCTCTAAAAAAATATATATAGATTACCTGGCTATGGTGGTGCACACCTGTACTTGGGAGGCTGGGGTGGGAGAATCACTTGAGCCCGGGGGGACTAAGGCTGCAGTGAGCTATGATCACACCACTGCACGCCAGCCAAGGTGACAGAGCAAAAGCCTATCTCAACAACAACAACAACAATAATTCACTGGCCTTACTAGATCTCATGGGTAGAGAGACAGTGCGCCTTCATCTTTGGGCCCGTATCACCTATCATGGCATGCTACGCAGCAAGCACTCCTTAAATGTTGGCCAACTTGCAGCTCTTGCTGATTTGCTCATGGTAAAACAAAACAAGAACTCTAAAACACAAAGGTATCAGGAGACATATATTTGAAATGGCTGGTAAGGAAATAGAAAGCCTCCCCATATCCGTTTTACAAATGAGGAAGCGAGGCACACTGACAGAGGATACTGACTAGCCCAGGATCAACAACTCTGAGTAACAGAGTCCCTTTTACATAGCTCAGCTATACCAACTTGTACCCAAATATATTTTTTACATCGTTTAACTGGTAAAATCTCTTTTACATACAACTCCACAAAAATCTAGTTATGTGCTAAGAAAGATCTATACTGGTATGAAGACAACTATGAGCTTTATTTTTCTCTTTGTCTATATATACATTCCCTGCTTCTTGCTGTATCTTTTATATAGAACTAGGAGAGCCATATTTGCCAAGCAAGATTCTATCTTTAAAAGTAATATGTATAAGTGCCCCAGAAGCTACTGCAGTTGGTTCATTTCAAGAGCTCAGGAATAATTATGTGTTCTCATAAGCACAGCATTCATTAATCAAATCTGCTGGTCTAATTCAACTTTACTGTTAGATTTTTATGGTAACGAAAAAATGATCTTCTTTGTCATATCCCCTAATATTAAAGGGGAAAAAATCTTTATGCCTCATTCTGTTTGCTTAATATACAACTTGTCTCTCTTCACTGCATTTGATCACTGGGACACCGGTGTATGGAATAACAGAGGACACCTCCCCCTGGATGCTGAGATACAGAGGACCATTATCTGTCCTCAGAGCTGAAGGATGCATTTTTTATTACCTTTTTTTTTTTGTCTATCACATATGGTGCAATTAAAAACATCTCTCCTTGCTTTTCTTCTGTCACATTAATTATAAAACCATTCCCAGTTCCCCTAGAAAACCAAATGTTTTATAATTTCTAATCCTAGTGTGAACTCATTAGCCTGTTTATTATCAAATTGACTGCATATAAGAAGTTGGATGATAACAGAAAAGCAAAATGTTGGTCCAGTTTGTTTCTGCCAAACAGAACTCCCAAGACTGTGCCTGCAATTTGAGAGAGTTCTTTAAATAAGTCACACCACGATATTTAGTCCGCAGATTTACAAAGCCTTACAAAATTGATACGAACGTGCAAAGAAATTATGGTGGCCATTTAGAGTAGCCACATTAAGTTAGATCATGGCTCTATTTCCAAAAGAATAGATTTTAAAGATAAAATCCGAGTCCAGTAAGAAATATTCTATGTGACTTGACACTCTCTCCTCCTTGTTTTTCTATGTCCTCTTCACTGTGGCTCTAAAATAGACTTGCTATTATGTTTCACATGATCAACATATTGTGAGCTTTATTTACTTAACTCAACAAGCCTAACTCCTGAAACTAATAAAAGAAACTCAGAACAAGCCCAGCTACTTGCCTTGAAAATTCCTCTCCTGTATAAAGATGCTAGTTATGCAGCAATTACTGGTCAACTTATTCCACTCCACAAAGCCAATATCTTCACCTGCTTCTAAAGCCCCAACATGAAACAACATAATAGTGTAAATGAAAACTGATTAAGAATTAGCAATCTGGCAGTCTTGGAAGGGTTTAGAAAGTTTACTAACAAATTGCCAGAATCTCTCAGGAGTTTGCTTTGGCAAGACAAAAAGCCAAAAGCAAAAACAAACAAAGAAACAAAAAACTTGTAACAGAGGCTAGTGACTGTATCTTGAGACTTTCCTGTCCTCACAAGTATCTGAATAGCAGTATAGGACTGAATTTATTCCATATGAAAGCTGCTAATGCAAAACCAGACCATGGGGATTTTACATCCTAATTCTACCGGTAACCGGTTATGTGACCTTCAATAAAGGCACTCAAACTGTTGGTGACGGTTTCCTCATCTGAAAAAATAGAGATAAATAATAGTTAATTTATAGGGTTGTTAGAATGATTAAATGAGTTAATACATGTAAAAGATTTAGAGCAGTGCCTGGCGCATAGTAAGTGCTATACATTCTTCATTCATTTGTTTGAAGATAGGGTCTCAGCACTTTGGGAGGCTGAGGTGAGCAGATCACTTGAGGACAGGAGATTGAGACTAGCCTGGCCAACACAGAGATTGAGACCAGACTGGGCAACACAGCAAAACCCTGACTCTACTAAAAATACAAAAATTAGCAGGGCATGGTGGTGCATGCCTGTAATCCTAGCTACTTGGGAGGTTGAAACACAAGAATCATTTGAACCTGGAAGGAAGAGCTTGCCATGAGCTGAGATCACATCACTGCACTCCAGCCTTGGCAAGAGAGCAAGACTCTATCTTAAAAAAAAAAAAAGACAAGGTCTCAGTGTGTTGCCCAGGTTGGAGTGCAGTGGTGCAATCACAGTTCACTGCAGCCTCCTGGGCTCAAGCCATACTTTACCTCAGCCTCCTGGGTACCTGGGACCACAGGCATGCACCACCATGTCCAGCTCATGTTTTTTTGTTTGTTTTGTACAAAGGGATCTCACTATGTTGTCCAGGCTGGTCTCAAACTCCTGGGCTCAAGTGATCCTCCTGCCTTGGCCTCCCAATGTGCTGTGATTACAGGCATGAGCTAACTCACCCTGCCCAATCTTTTCCTTTTATTAGGAAGAATAATTTCCTTACTTAGCCATTCCTCAAATATATGCTGAGCACATTCTGTCTCTCAGGTGACAGTACCCCAGAACTAGGGAATGTGAATAAGACCTAATCCCTGCCCTCAGGGAGTTTATAGCTCATGGCAGCAGCAACACTAGTAAAAATAAGCTACCTTGATAGGTGCATATCTTCATTTGCTCAGCAATTTTCTCAAAAGCACTATAACTCTTTACTAAAATGCTAAGCTTTGATTGTTTTTCAACTATTTCTGGAGAGTTTCTGCATATATGATAAGGACAAGAAATTACACTGAGGTATAGATGCTGATGAGCAGCAAGTCTCACTGGCTGGTTAAGGGATACCAATCAGTGTACCAATGTGCTGCTCTTGAACACACACCTCCATAAAATTACAAATTATCTTCCAGGTCCATTTGTGAAAGTTAGACCTGTGCATGCTAAGGGCCTGTGAGAGGGTGTATGCCAATCACACACTGCAGGCAGAGGCTGGGAACAGAAATACCAGTACTGGACAGAAAGTTACTTAAACTGTGCTTCTTAGACCACTTTTTGCTATGTTGAGAAACACAGCATTTCAACTAATAACAGTTCAAGGAATTATCACACATTTCTTAAATGTGCATCATATGCCCATCAGACTGCTAAGAGTTCAGGTACATGCCAGTACAAGAAATTGTTACTGAAACACCACTGAGACAATGATTATTGCCAAGGAAGAAGGCTTTAATCGGGTGCTACAGCTGAGGAGATGGGAGATCAGTCTCAAATCTACCTCCCTGATTGACTAAAATTAGGGGTTTATACAGCAGGGAAGAAAGATATGAGAAAACAGGAACTCCAGAGGGGTAAGGAAGCAGTCATGATGAATGAGAAGCCTGGCATTTCAATGTCTGGATGCAGTGTCTGGTTAGTGTGGGTTCTTTTGATACTTTTGAGAGGCCTGGGGGTCCTTTCCTGAACAAGGAACTCAAAACAAAGTTTCAAGCTGTAAGAACAAAAGTACAATTTCTATGTTTATCAAAAGAAAAACAACAACCACAAAAAACTTGTCTATGGAGGTATTGGGTCATTTTCAAAATCATCTTTGCCTTTTAAGAGTTTACTTTCTGGTAGAGGAAATAAAATTTACATGCCTATGAAAAATCGAGAACAATGCACAATGACATGTTTCTAAGCACCAAATTGGTACTATGGACTGATCTGTGAAAACTCTGAGAAAAAGGAAATCAGTGAGGACAGAATAACCAAGGTGTTTTCTGTAGAAAGCGACGAGCATGGTATACATAGGGGAGAAAACAGAGTAAGGGCATTCAGAGTGTGAACAAAAAGACGGAGAAGTCAAAGACATGAACAAATATAAGTTGATGTATACATTTATATTGGCACGGTTATATTTTTAAGTTTTTTTATTGATAAATAATATTGTACATATTTATACGGTACATGTGATATTTGTTACATGCATAGAATGTATAGTGATCAAGTCAGAGTATTTGAGGTATCCCTCATCTTGAGTATTATTTCTATGTTTTGGGAACACTTCAAGTTCTCTCTTCTAGCTATTTTGAAATATAAGATACACTGTTGCTAATGATAGTTACCCTACTCTGCTATGGAGCATTAGAATTTATAACTTCTATCTAATGGTGTTTGCACCCATCGACTAATCTCTCTTCATTCCCCTATCCCCACCCCACCCACACATCCTTCCCAGTCTCTGGTATCTATCATTCTACTTTCTATCTCCATGAGATCAACTTTTTCAACTACTGCATGAGTGAAGACACTGGCATAACTGTTAAATCATTTCCTTTCCGCATCTTGTTCTCTTATTGTCTTCTCACTTACTCTATCTGCTCAATGATTTGACACTTTTGAAACATCGAATCCTGTCTAGATCACAGGGATAGTCTTTCTTTTAATTTCAACTGGAATAAATCTAGCATAAATCTTATTTTTCTCCTTCCCACTTGATTGTCAGGACAGTGAAAAACATCATTATACAAGCCTCCATTCATACATACAAAGGTTGTAACTTCCCTCTTAATGTGAGTCATCTATGTGTTGTTTTTCTCAGCTAGATTAAATCTTCATGGTACAGTCATTCACCCAGAAGGGAGGAACGGAGGAAGAGGTAAGATGTTTTCTGTTCCCTTGGGGAAAGGGGGAAATCTTAAAATGCTTCCCTAGGAACAAACTGCATTTTTTTTTTTTTTTTTGAGTCAGAGTCTTGCTCTGTCACCCAAGTGCAATGGCATGATCTCAGCTCACTGCAACTTCCACCTCCCAGGTTCAAGCAAACCTCAGCCTCCCAAGCAGCTGGGATTACAGGCACCTGCCATCATGCCAGGCTAATTTTTGTATTTTTAGTAGAGACAGAGTTTCATTCACCATGTTGGCCAGGGTGATCTAGAACTCCTGACCTCAGATGATCTGCCTGCCTCGGCCTCCCAAAGTGCTGGGATTACAGGCATGAGGCACACTGCGCCCGGCCCAAACTGCATTTTGAAATTTATTTTTCTTTTTAGCCATTCCCTATGCTTACCTCACATACCAACCATATTTTTGAACAGAGAAAACATCTGCTTCTATTGTCTTACCTGGTTTTGTTTGTTTTCATTTCAAACAATCTCACATTTATGGGAAAATAATACCTTACTTGTTTGACATTAATAAAATGAAGTGTTTCTCTACTGATATCCTGTACTTCCAAACAAAAATACTGACTACCTACCAGGATTTCCAGACACTGAAATACTAGATTATATCTCTCAGATAAGTAGTAAAATGATTATTAAGAAGCCTGCAAGTAGTTCTAAGCTCTGGCACATATATATTTGCCAGTGCTTGGCATCCTTGGAAGTTAAGTATTTGTATCTGGGCAACAGCAGCATGTTAACTTTTGAAATGTGCTTGGAAAGAAGTTATTGACATACAATACAGGAAAGCTGGGAAACATCAGGCAAAGACAGGAATATGAACACAAATGAATTGTGATTCAGTAGATTGAACGTGCACACTGAAGTCACCTGAAATTTAAAGATTCACAGAAACCTAAGCAATGTATTTGAAGTCCAGAGGACAGTCAGAGCATTTTTTCCTCAGAATGCCACCAGTGCAAATGTTTGTATGAAAGTCCTCTGATAAGCAGTGGGGGAATAAAATGTATGTAACTTGCTTGCATTTTCTTACGGTTAGAGGCAATTTATTATTTTTTTCATATGATAAAACATTACACATTTTTTTACACTCTTTTTTTGGAGATGGAGTCTCGCTCTGTCACCAGACTGGAGTGCCGTGGCGCCATCTCCACTCGCTGCAAACTCCACCTCCCGGATTCAAGCAATTCTTGTGCTTCAGCCTCCCAAGTAGCTGGGGCTACAGGCATGCACCACCATGCCTGGCTAAATTTTATATTTTTAGTAAAGACAGGGTTTCACCATATTTGCCAGGATGGTCTTGATCTCCTGACTTTGTGATCCACCCACCTCAGCCTCCCAAAGTGTTGGGATTACAGGCGTGAGCCACCGCGCCCGGCCAAACATTATACTTTTTTTTTTAAATCTCAAAACAGTTGTCTGTGATCACTATCTGCATGTCCTTGTCTTCCACTCATTCCAAAACCCAGCCCAGGCTGACTGCCACCCTCTCTCTGCGCTAAAATAAGCTTCCTAGGGTCAACAGTTACCTCTGGTTGCTAAATCCATTGGACATTTTTCCAGTGTTGGCCTTACATCTCAGTAACATGACAGCCTCCCTACTCCCTCCATCCTGAAGTATCCCCATCTCTTGCTTTTTATGACAATACTCCCTGAAGTATCCCCATCTCTTGCTTTTTATGACAATACTCTCCCGTGTCTTCCTCTGACATTTGCATTGTCCTTCTCATCCTACTCATTCTCTTTTACTCTAAACTCAACAACGGGAATTGGTCTAGTTCCTGTTGTCTTCTCAACCTTTGCTCCACATTTTCTATCACCCATTCAGGTATCTCCTGTGAGCTCCAGACCTGGAAATCAACATCTACTTCACTTCTCCATGTGGATGTCACAAAAGCATCTCAACTCAGCATGACCAAAGCAGACCTCTGGATCCACCCTCCCTGGCTGGACCTCTTCTTTCTCTCCCCTCTGTGAAGGTTAATCAACAAATTGTGTCCTTTTTGTCATGCCAAACTAAAAGAGGTCAGGGTAAAAGCACTCAGGGAACAAAACACTGCTCTAAGAATGTAATTCTATGCAAGCGCTGGGGAAACTGCCTACTGCACCTGAAAACAGTTTTATCTAGTAGCTGCTGAAACAATCTCCTATGACTTTAAGAATAGTTTTACCTGTTACCGTCACTTAACCAATCAAAACTTGCCAGCTCTCTTACTAGTGCCATTAATTCTTTCTTCCCAAATAAAATGTTTTAATTTCAGAGATTTGTCTCTGCATTTTATTTGACTTCAACACTCAGTGACAGCCACCACATCCATCCAGTTGTACAATCCTAAAAGCCAGGAAGGCTCTTCCCTCTCCCTCCTTATCCATTTTTCATCAAATCCCACTGATTTGCCTCCTCATCTTACAGATCTCCCTGTTTCTCTCCATCTCCATCACCATCTACTTATCTCTTTTGTAGTCCACTGCAGTCTTTTCCTAACTCACCTCCTCCAGCAGCTAGTCTTGCTGTGCTCCATTCTGCTCCTGATTCTGAAATTATTTTTAATATATTTTTTAATGTAAATCTCACCTATCTTCCTTCACAGGCTTTCCCTTGCTCTTGGGCTAATGGGAATGACTATTGTTTCTCTCTGCCTTCATCTAGTTCCATCACCCCCTCCTCCTCCATTCTTTACCACATGGTTCCTGGTTCCTCCTCCCCTCTGGGTCTTTGCACAGACAGACCTTTCCCCTCCCTCTCTCTGCCTAATTAATTCCCACTTAACCTTCAGACTCAGCTCCAACATGACTTCTTTAGGGTTACATTCTTGAAGCATCTTCTCAAAATAAGCCAAGTCCTCTGGATTTACATCTCCATGGCACTCTGCATTTTTTCTTTTTAGAAATTGTATACTTATCCATACTAATTTGATTATTGACTCCGAGTGCAAATAAGTCAGGAACTGCATCTCTTTTGCTTACTATTTTATCCCTAAGACCTTGAGGTCCTCGCTCTCCATCAGCTATTGTCAGCTCTCATAAGCTCCAACCACACTAGCGCCACAGACCATTGAGTCCACGCTCTGCGGGAAGGTGAGGAGGCACAAGTGCCCCCGCTAATCTAGGAACCCAGAATAGCTTCTGTTTTGCATTTCAAAAAAGGGTTAAAGTGTACATGAGATCACTCTACATGAGGTGAAAGGAAACAATTTATAGGTTAAATAGCACAGGAGAAAAACTCAGCTCAGGTGTGTGGAAGTCACCAACAATGTTTCTTCTTGTGTTGCCCCTTCAAGCACATTGGCTACAACCATCTGAGGATGTTAACTATTTCTTGTCTACTCTGTGCAAAGCATATAACAATTCTATTTATTCTTTCATTCAAAAGCATACATTGAATGCTGATTTTGCGCAAAAACACTGTGTAAAGTACTGTGGTGGACAGGCAATGGTTAATAAGAGCTATTGCTCGTGGAGGGTCTACCATGTTCCAGGTCTATAAATTATAAGTGGCATTTACAAGCAACATTTAAAGTAAATTACCATCTTATGAAAAAGCAAACACTTAATAAACCATAATACAAAACCAAAAGAAACAAGCAGGCCTTTATAATCAACATTATTTCTGGTCCTTAACATAGTCCAAGTTAAAGGCATTTGAGAACTTTATGAGGTCTCAGAGTTCTAATTAAAATGTACTCTTCCAGGGTTCCTAATTACTCACCAGGACATGAAACTAATTACAGCTCCCAGTAGCCAAATACATTGGCATCTAGATTAGAAAAAAACAGAGTTCTTATTCAAACAATTAGTTATTTGGAAGATAACCTGGTTAACCTGTGGTGAAAAAAATCCAAGCACCATTTAGCAAAGAAATATTCATCCGAGTACCTACCATGTGTTAAGTGCTGTAGACACAAAGGTGAAAAAGTCATGAACCTGCCTTCAAGGTCAGGTTTAGGGGAGACTCATGAGATCAAGTAAGCGTTGAAAAGAGGCACTGAGTAGAAAGTGGGACGCAGGCTGGGCACAATGGATTATACCTGTAATCCCAGAACTTTGGGAGGCCAAAGTGGGCAGATCATCTGAGGTCAGGAGTTTGAGATCGGCCTGGCCAACATGGTGAAACCCCGTCTCTACCAAAAATACAACAACAACAAAAAAATTAGTTTGGGGTGGTGGCACACACCTGTAGTCCCAGCTACCCAAGAGGCTGAGAGTCGAGAATCACTTAACCCGGAAGGTGGAAACTGCAGTAAGTTGAGATCACACCACTGCATTCCACCCATGGAAGGCAGGCCAGGAGCTGTGTCAGCAATGACCTCATTGAGGAGGTAACACCTAAGTTGAATCTTGAAAGGTGTATCCATCAAACAGATGGAAGGTGGAAAAGGAGCATGGACAAAAACACAAAGGAATATAACAACATGGAAGGTTGGGCAAACAGTCAGCAAGGCCAGGCCTGGGTTTATCACAGGGTTAGGCAATGGGAAGACACAAAAAGATATTTTTTAACCACCTGGATTTTTTAATTTGTGCATGAAATATTCATAGCAGCACTGCTGACAAATAGCAAAAGGGCAAAACAACTCAAATTTTCATCAACTGATGAAAGGATAAACAAAATGTGGTATATCTACACAATGGAATATTATTCAGCCATAAAAAGGAATGAATTGTGACACATGCCACAACATAGATGAGCTTTGAAAACACGCTAAATTAAAAAAAGCCAGACATAAAGGGTCATGTATTATAAGTGTCCATCTATCTGAAACATCCAGAATAGGCAAGAAGATAAAGAAAGCAGATTAGTGATAGGTGCAGAAGAGAAGAGAGGGAATAAGGAGTGACTATGTAATGGGCAATGAGCTTCCCTTTGGGGTGAAGAATATATTCTTGAACTAGATCATGGTCAATGTGGTGGTAGTTGTACGGCATTCTGAATACAATAAATGACACTGAATCATACACTTTAAAATGGTCAATTTTATGTTATGCATCTTTTACTGCAATTAAGAAAAAATATAAATTTTAATATAAAATAAATTGGTTTAAATTATAAAAGCAATACAAAAAAAGTTTTTTTCTGGTAAAGAATTCCAGAGTGAAGTTTAATTGGCTACTGTTTTAAAAGCATGTGACCTTACGGATCACATGCTTTATAAAACGTGTGAAGTGTTAAATAACTTTTGATATTACACATAAACCACACTAAAATGCCTTTCAATAAGTAAAAGGAACCATTTTAAATACAGAGAATTCTAATTAGACTGGCATAGTTAAGGCCAAAAATATAAAGGAGCCATTGCTACCCATTTATCGTCAACCTTTGCATTTAAGAGGCAAATGAACACAAAACACAGGTGAATCTTGCTCGGTTCTGAGACAGTGAAGGAATTTTCCCATATTTAAATATATTCACATAACCAGTTATATAAATCTAACTATAAAACCACTCTCCAGTAAGTTTTAAGATGGCACTCACCATCTCTGTGAAAAGTGTAATATTACTAATGAAGTCTAATCATATCTTTAGAAGGGGTAAACAGTGATAGCATTTACTAAATTGGAATTACTATTAAAATTCAAAAACTGAACATATTCATTTAACCACAAGGCAGTCTTAAACCAGTTTTAAATCAGGACTGCGCAATAAAATATTCTGTAGTCATTCATGATGTAAATTCTGGTGTATGATATCAATTAAAGCATGGTACACATAAAAAGTCATGAGACATAATTATTACTAATTAGTAGCTTTTTTGAGATAAGCTATCAAGTCTGCCCTTTCTCCCTTCTTCTTAATGCCAGCAAAGATCATTTTTGTTCCCAGGATGTACTTCTTGGGAATCTCCAAATGCTCCATCAGTGTATCCTCTCCCCAGGTGATGCGTTTGTTCTTATTGGCAACAGTGTAAGTGAATCCAGAGGGCTGACCTGTCTTCCGCCCAAAGATACCATGGAGATTAGGCCCAGTCTTGTGCTTGCCTCTCTTTTCCACGGTGTGGCATTGGGAACACTTCTGAACAAAAATCTTCTTGCCTTTCTCAACATCACCCATATTTAATTCCCTTTTTGCGTCACCGGCGCAACAAAGGTTACCGCTCGGAAGCCGGATGTCCCTCTCTCTCTCAATAAGAAAATGTTTAAAACTAGCAATAAAAAATAAAAATTATCCTCCATAGCCCCAACTCTCCATTCCTACTCTACAAAAGTAATTATTTAAGTTTTTTATTTTAATATCTTCTTCCAGAACTGTGTTTTATATACAAGTGTATAGGGGTGTACATGTGGGAGGGTGAGGGGATGTATGATCTTACGATGCACTTTATTTTTCCATTTAAGCTTCTGGAGAATCTTGGAATTTAAAAATTCTTGTATCATTATATGTAAGTTGAGAAGAACTCACTTTAAATTATAATTACCTTGTGATTGCTTTGGCCTTCAATTTTCTTTTAAATTCTTGAATCAATGGCCTGTAAATAAACTGACACTGACACAGTTGGGTGTTGAGGGGTTGGCTAAGAAAGATTTGTTCTATCAAAATAATTTTTACAAACCAGTTATATGATGAAAAGAGAGCATTGTGACCATAGCAATAGCTCCCACAGTGGCATCAACCTGAACAGGACCATGACAGCAAGAGAAAACATGAGAGGTGAGGATGGTAAAATGGTTTCAGGTAATAATGCATGAGTGACTAATTTAAAGGAAGAAAACTGCATTTCACAATCAGAGACACCAACTTCAACAGTCAAAAAGGTTTGGAAAACCAATCTCAAATAGAAGTTAAATTGAAAAACATAATTTATTCTTTTGAGTTAATAAGTTAGTGTGATAAAGTCAACTAAATCAGGTTTTCACTAAGGAAAAGTGCGAAGCTTTTTGGAATGTATGAAACAAGTCAAAGACAGGTGTGAAGTAAGATCTTTTGTGAGATAGTCAACATTTAGTGCTTAATCTTAGAAAATGCGTCAGAATGGCTCATGCCTCTAATCCCAACACTTTGGGAGGTCGAAGTGAGTGGATCGCCTGAGGTCAGGAGTTCAAGATCAGTCTGACCAACATAGTGAAACCCCATCTCTACTAAAAATACAAAATTAGCCAGGCATGGTGGTGCGTGCCTGTAATCCCAGCTACTCAGGAAGCTGAAGCAGGAGAATCACTTGAACCTGGGAGGCGGATGTTGCAGTGAGCCAAGATCACGCCATTGCACTCCAGTCTGGGCAACAAGAGTGAAACTTCATCTCAAGAAAAAAGAAAAGAAAATAAAATGCATCAGAAGAGATGAGTCTATCTCCACCTATAGTCTTAGGAATTGAATCTGTACTAACAACTTAAGTAAGGGAAGCTATTTCTAACTCTCTTTCTTGACTGTCTCAAACAAAATTGCTACATGATTACTTGAGGAATAAAAAACTCATGCTATTTAGTCATAGTATTTTTATTTCAGGGTTGGAATCAATACTCTGAGTCTCAATTTCCTTATCAACAAGGAAAACAGTTTCAGCTCACAACGTCATCATGAGAATTACTGACATAATTCATGGAAAGCATTCAGCACAGGGCTTAGCACATAACGTGTTCAATAAATGTTCAATAGTATTATTGTTGTTAATGTGGTCAATATCATCAATGTGCCTTTTGTCTAGGAGTTTATAATTCAGTGTCATAGGCAAGAAGCCAAATGCAACGTATAAAGATGACTTACACACAAAATATATTCCTTTTTAATCATGTTAGAGTATTTTAATGCACAACTGCTTTATATGAGACATGTTGCTAACATATTAATTGATCAAACTTCTAAAATCATATTTTAAACGTACTTGAGTGACCAATTGAGAATTCATCTTTTATTTCAACTTTTACTTTAGACTCAGGGAGTATTTGCGCAGCTTTGTTATCTGGGTACGCTGGAATTCTGGAGTACAAATGATCCTGTTGCTCAGGTACTGAGCATAGTACCTGATGGTTAGTTTTTCAGTCCTTGCCCCCCTCCCTCCTTCTCCCCTTTAGTAGGCTCCAGTTTCTATTATTGCCATCATTATGTCCATGAGTACTTAATGTTTAGCTTTAAGTGAGAACATGCCCTAGGAGAATTTATGTTGTACTTTGTTTTTTAGTGTCTTAGATCCACAAGGAAAGAATGAAACATTGTTCTCCTTCCTAGAGGGGAGCGAGATACCAAGACCAATGTAGCCACTGCTGTCTATATAAATTGTTCTAGAACAAACTGAGCAGCAGGTGTGGAGTAGCCACTAAACTGCCCTTGGGAAGGTCCTTTCCAGCCTGGACGAGTGATGGCAGTTACTCAGCACTCAAATGTAGCATCATGTGGACACAGGAACAAGGACAACAGCAGCCACTGTGTGATAAGGGGTTGTATTCATTTTAAGAACCGCACATCTGGAAGACCTTTTTCAAAACTGAAGGGAAGTTCCATGAAGGCAGTGGCTTTGCCTTGTTCACCGCTGTAGCCCCAAACAAGAACAGTCCCTGTACCACAATAAGCAATCCATATCCAGGAATGAATGAAGGCTTGGCTCATGAAAGTCTCCAGGAATATTTGTAAAGTAGGAGGAAAAGAGAAAGAGGTCCCAAAATGACTGATAGTTGACTTTCCAATAATTGTGGTAGGTAGGACTCAAACTCCTTCTCTTAAAATTTGGTAAATGAAAAATAAAATGACATTTATAGCACCTGGTTTGTCAGATAAATATATTTCTGGCCTACTAATCACTGAAAGCATTTAAATTAAGAGCCAAACAAGGATGTTGTACAGATAAAAGAGTTCTACTTGAGATGCAGGATTAGCTAATATAGAGGGTTTTGACATTTTGAGGTTACTTACCTTTTGAGATCAGATGAAAGCTATGAAGCCCTCCATAGAAAAATCCATATGCAGACGTTGCACCAATCACAGGAGTAGGAGTGGGAGTGGAGTGTGGGAGAAAAGGAGCAGAGCTTAATGGATAACTCATTAAAGAAAAGCAGGATAAGAAGGGTTTGATGCCCCTTTTGAATCTATCTCAATCAGTCAAAACACCTCTTACCAACTGTATTGTAAAGCACATGTGTATCTTCCTCCGGCCAGTCTTGTAAATTCAGAGTTATGCATATTGGTTAGGTTAGTTTAAGTGCCACCAATTTTGCGTTGTTTGGAGCAGACTGTGGATTTAGGGGGACTTCCAAAGTGGGCTTGAGTTTTGAGGTACTGGGAATAGAGGCATAAAATAGTTTTACTGACAAGAGCAACAAACAATACTAAAAGGAAAGTCCAAGGAAAAGATGGTACAATTTCAATGATGAAAGAACTAGGAGGTGAATAACAGGACACAGCGGACATTTTGGACAAGGCTGCAGAATAAAGGGTGGGTTTTCTCTCAGGAATTCAAAGGCACACCAATGAAGGAGGCAGGACTGAGAAAGAAAGTTGAGTGCTCAGGTGGCTGGAATGGTGACAAGAATCTTTAAATTAAGTCCAGAGACATAATAAATGATGGAGAGAAAACAGAGCTGGATTCAAATCTCAATTCCATTCCTTCCTGGCTGTATCCCATTGGACAAGGTACTTAATTTTTCTGTGCCTCGTGTTCCCTATGATTGAATAATTTTGAAGTACAACCCTTTACTTTGAGTATTTTGTTTTCAATGGTGAATCCATATTTCACTATGGTTTGAACATATTGCTTATAACTGAGTCATGAGCCACAGAATCCAGTTCTTTAGTATATTAAACATGTTCCAGTTCTTTAGTATATTAAATAGTGAGTACTATTGTACAAAGAGTAATTGAAGGTATTGCTATAGTTTGGATGTTTGTCTCCTGCAAATCTCATGCTGAAATTTGGTCCCCAATGCTGGAGGTGGGGATCAGTGGGAGGTGTTTAGGTCATGGGGGCAGGTCTCTCGTGAACAACCTGATGCCACCTTCACAGTAATGAGGGAGTTCTCTCACTCTGTTAGAGCTCTAAAGGAGCCTGGCACCTCCTCTCTCCCTCTGTTGCTTCAGCTCTCACTGTGTTATCCACACAAGGCGACTCCCCTTCACCTTCAGCTGGGAGTGGAAGCAGCCTGAAGACCTCACCAGAAGCAGATGCTTGGCAATGTGTTTCTTGTACAGCTTGCAGAACCATGAGCCCAATAATCCTCCTCTCTAAAAAATTACCCAGTCTCAAGTATTCCTTTATAGAAAAACAAATGGACTGAGACAGACATAATACAGGTAGTGAAATGCAAAAGAGTAATCTCCAATTCTTGTGTTTTAGTTAAAACAAAAACCTCTTAAAAAGTAACATTTTCAAACCAGAATGGATTTCATCACTAGAGAAAACAACATCTGAACATCTATATTTTGTGCAATATAAATCACTCTTGAGACACAGTACACAAAAATGCATTTTAGAAACATTCTCAACAAAGACTAAGACAAATTGTGCAACTGTTGCTATAATTTTTGGTAGTATTCATTCAGTTAACAGATATTTACTGAGCACCTATGCCATTTGCAAGATCGTGTGCTTGCTTTAAGGTATTAGATATTTTCTACTTTTTTTCTTAATGTGACTAGGAACTTATAATCAGTTGGAATTTAATATCTAATTAATATTAGAGTACTTATATACATTTGCTGACCAAGTAAGGTACATGATCAGCAAATGTATATAAGTACTCTATAAAAAGAACCGACAATAAGAGAGATGTCAAAGAAAGCTTGCTTACATTCGCAAAAAGAGAGAGATCAAAAATAGGAAGAGGTCACTTTGGAATAGAAAAGTAATAAAAAGATTTGAAAAATGGTACTTGGAGTGAAACATACATAAGGAATGGCTTGACCACAAGCAAAATGGAAAACAAACCAAGCAGCCTCAGAACCATCCCACATACTAACGAGATAAGAGTATTTCCCACCAATGTGAATTGATTTGAAATTATTGAATAGTCTCTTGTTAGGCTCCTGAACATCTTCAAAGCTGGATTACCAGCAAATGCATGTGGGTCTGCATTTTATAGATGACACAAAATAGTTGCACTCCAGGCTTTGCTCAAAAGAACCACTTAGGCTCCCACCCTTTGGTGTTCATTAAAACCTCCACTGAGGCAGGGCGTGGTGGTGGCTTACAACTATAATCCTAGCACTTTGGAAAGGTGAGGCAGGTGGATTACCTGAGGTCAGGAGTTCAAGACCAGCCTGGTCAACATGGCGAAATCCTGTCTCTACTAAAAATACAAAAAAATTAGCCAGGCATGGTGGTAGGCACCTGTAATCCCAGATACTTGGAAGGCTGAGGTAGGAGAATTGCTCGAATCCTTGGGGCAGAGGTTGCAGTGAACTGAGATCACACCATTGCACTCCATCCTGGGCAATAGAGCAAGACTCAGTCTCAAAAAAGAAAAAAAATGAGGAAGGAGAGAGGAGAGGAGAGGAGGGGATGGGAGGGGATGGGAGGGGACGGGAGGGGAGGGGAGGGGAGGGACTCAACTGAAAGAACCACTCTTAGGAGGACTGCCTTACAGATATGTGGTCTTGCCATCCTTCTAACATCCTGAAATCTATCTCCAGATTAACTCAGATTAGCCAAGACCTGGCTACCTGGACAACCTTCCCCTGCTCCTCCCACAGCCTCCTCCCTGCAGAAGAGTGTTATACATCCTTCTTTTGTCACATTGTCAGCTTGCATAAAAGGTACTCAAAAAAGCCAATTCTATGAAATTCTACCTTGTGTAGGAAACTTGTTTAGCACAATTATAAGGCACAATGTTCATGTAAGAGAAGTTCCAGTGTGAACTCAGCACCAAAAACAGATGTGCTCTTTTTGAGCAATTGATTTAGTACACATACTGTCGACTCGATAACAGATAATGTACCTTTCCCAACAGGCACCTCGAAAAGTTGGAGGCCAATAAGAGTGTAGGTCATTGCATGAAGCACTTTAAATCTAATTCCAAGCTCTGTTTTATGTTAATGACTGACTTTCTTCTCCCTTTAAATGTGTAAAAGCATCAGTATTTGCCTGTGTCCTTTGCAACTGACTTAAATCCTTCCTACAGAAAGATAGATTGTAAATATATGATTGATTGGATTTCTCCTCTTGCAAGTGAGAGAAGTCCACCTGGTCTTCACCCCTAAATAATCAGATTAATGCCTGGTGGGCTTGCAGCAGGCCTGCAAGAGATACTGTCCACTATTTCTGCATCTGCCAGAACCTCCTGGACGTTCAGCCACATGTCAGGTACACCAATACCCACACACCCACAGCCAGATGCCAAATCAATCAGGACTGCCAGGAAGTTCCAGGAATTAATAGACAGCTTTACACAACCAGAAGGGGGCAAATTCCAGTCATGCCCAGCAGTATTGCTTCCAAGTCTCAAAAAGCAAGGCAAGTCATGTTTTCAGAAAATCCGTCTGGAAAGAGAACTGTATTTTACACATCACACGTAAGTGTCTTTGTATTACACATCACATTCAACACACTTTACTGACCACCTACTTTGTGCTAAAACAGATGACAATGTTGAAGGGGCCTTAAGGACAATAGAGTTTCGGCCCTCCCCACGACAGAAGATTGCAGGGACTCCTGGTGAGCACAGACCTTGGGCATCAGACAGGCATGGCTCTGAGTGCTCTGAGTCTTGCCTTTGCCACTTATTGGCTGTGACTGCAGACAAGTAACTCTCTGAGCCTCCATTTCCTCATTTGTAAAGTAGAGATGATGATGATGATATGATGATGGTATCCTTACCTTGTCTCAAAATTGTTGATTTGTAAGGGATTTGGCAGAGTGTCTGACATACAGTATGACTTAGTATCTGTTACCTTCTCTCCAGTTCACCTCTCTTTTTCCAAAAACTTTATTTTTTTTCCAAAAACTTTAAATCACTTCAATGAGTGAGAACATTCTATAAAGCTAAGTATAATCAAAGGCAAATTGAAATAATTACTATAAAGAAAGAAAAATAATAACACACTCTCACTTGCCTCTAATAACACACTCTCACAACTCTATTAAGATGTTATGAATCCACATTTTTAAATGAAGATGTTGAGGCCCAGATACGTCAGGAAATTTGTCCAAGTGGCGGAGTTGTGATTTGAATTCACATAATCTGACTCTAGACGCCATATTCTTAACTGCCTGTAAAATACTGATTTGAAATACATAAAAAATTTTGTGGAAGAACAGAGGAAGGGGCAATTTATTTCTACTTGGGAATGGTGGTCAAAAAGCCTTTGTGAAATAGAGAACATCAGAGCTGGGCCTTAAAAGAAGAGCAAGATTTCATTTTGATAGAAGTAAAATGGAAATGGAGATATAAAAAGGAAGACTATTCCAGGCTGAGAAATTGGTGCCAACAATGTGGAGGCATAAAAGGACATGGTGTGCTGGAAAACAGGGAGAAATCTGCGTGGATAGACATCTCTTGGCTCATGGATACAACATGGCATAAACCAGTCATGGTAATCCTATTCCCACTTCCCAGACAGAGAAATGAAGCAATAGGAAGAATTAGAGAACAGGTTGGGGCCAAATAATATCATGCCTAGAACATCTTCTGGAACATCTGAACCTTAGAGGCAATAGTAGTGAGCCGTAGATGGTTATAGAAGGAGATACATGATACTACCCATATTCCAAGAAAACAGTTGTCAGTAATGTGGGGGGAATATTAGAATGAGAGAGAGAAAACAGTTAAGGATCTCCTGTTATATTCTGGCTAAGAGACAGTAAAGGGCTGGATGGGGCAATGGAAGTGAATATGCACACAGATATCCCAGAGGAAAACTGGCCGGGCTTGACTACTGATATGGGTTCCTGGAAAGGCCAACAAGGAGAATAAGAAGAAGGCAGTTATTATTGTAAAGTGTAAAATATTGTTCTTTGGAAAGCAGTATAGTAATAGGGGTGCATTGAGCTGCAATGAACAACACCCAACTAACAGAGATTTAGACAATAAAGATATTTCATTATCTCACAAAAGAAGTATAGGCTGGGCATGATGGCTCACAACTGTAATCCCAGCACTTTGGGAGGCTGAGGCAGGTGGATGACCTGAGCTCAAGAGTTTGAGAGCAGCCTGCTCAACGTGGCAAAACCCCATCTCTACTAGAAAAACAAAAAAATTGCCGGGGGAGGTGATGGGCGCCTGTAATCTTAGCTACTCAGAGACTGAGGCAGGATAATTGCTTGAACCCGGGAGGCAGATGTTGCAGTGAGCAGAGATTGCACCACTGCACTCCAGCCTGGGCAACAGGAGCAAAACTCCATCTCAACAACAACAACAACAAAGTCTGATGGCAGAGTTCCAGGGATAGTTTAATTGCTCAGTGATGCTAGAGACTGGGCTGGTGTCTCTGAAATCCCCTAACACTTTCCTCACAGTCTCACATGGTGGCAGCAGCAATTCCAAGAATCCTTTCTTGATATTTGAGTATCAAAAAAAGGCAGGGCCTCTCTTCCCAAATCCTAGAAGCTTCTGAACAAACGTCCTGTATGCCAGAATGTCATCACTGGCCACCCTCAGTGACCAGGAAGTTGGAAGAATAAGTATCTGGTAAATGGAGATAGGATTCCCATGACAGGCTTACATCATGATGTATCCATGGGCCAAGTTTATTATGGGCTGATCTAATTCAGGTGTTGATAAGGAAAAAGAGGTCATGACTGGTGAGTAGGTAGCCAACAGTGTTTGCCATAAACATTTTGAATAAGCAGTCAGCCTTCTAGAAAAAGGGAATTTGCAAGATGATCCTGTAATAATTGGGAGTGAAGCATCTTGCTGATGAAAGCCAAGCTCCTATTTAGCAGCCTCAGAAGGAATGGCTTAGCCTGATTTCCTTTCTCAGGACCAAGAGCATATTTTGAGTTGCTGAGCTTGGCAGAAAGGTGGAGGAAAGGATGATAGAGAACCACTAGGATTTGTGATTCAGACTGAGAGAACTTCTGGCAAAGTAGTCTCAGGTGAGAAAGAATGTTTTCTCCTCCAAGCAGTCTTCAGAACTGAAGAATATTGGCTCACTTTTTGCACTGGGGCTATATAATCCTCTTTTGCATGTTCAAGTTCTAACAGGTCTAGTTCAACTACCACTTCCTTCAAGACGCTTTTCCTATCACTGGTCAACTTGTGCCCCACTGTGCTATTTACACACATTTACATGCACTTTCCAATCAGTCTTGATGCACTTGCCTTCCAACCCTACATACACAAGCTATCATCAAATCCAGTCAACTGGATCTAAATAGCTACTGATTCTGTCCACCTCTCTGCATCTTCATTTCTGACAATAACTGCTCGAGTCTAATGGACATGTACTACATGCCAGGCATTATTCTCTATATTTTACACTTATTAATCTATTTTATCCTTTCAACAACCCCATTAGGTAGATCATAGTAATTATTTTATGAAGAAAGAAACTTGGAGACATAAATAGTAAGGAACTGGATCAAATTCACATAGGTAGTAAGTGACAGAGGTACTCTTAGGAGTTCGTGCCTCAGTTGATAACTATGCTACCTCTGTCA